ATTATATTGAAATGAACAATATAGTTATATTTCGTGTCACTGTCCCTGCTAGTGGACACTAAGATTAATAATATTTGTTACATGCATTAGGTGTGTGTGTGTTTGGAGGGGGGGGGGAGGGTCACGGACTGAACTACTTTTATACACCTCCAGTTATAACTGGAGGACATTATACTAGAATGTCCGCATATATTCCATTATATATTCATTAGATTTGAACGATTCAAAAAATGGTTATTTAAAGATACTTTATGTAAGAGGTAAATTTACCTATTGCAGTTATATTAAAGACCACATAAAGTCACCAACTCTCTGGCTCACCGGATGGCTCCGAATTTAAGTAGATTAGAACACTGCGGCCCTATATAATCAAGACTTGTCTCGGTTTTCAAGTACTACGATGATAAACAATCATCACTACATTTTGTCAAAACTTCAACCACTCATAACCTCGCGCAGTAATTTGAATAAAATTTTCAATATATTCACTTTTTATTACCTAATTTTGAAAGAATGGCCAGCTCTTTATCTAATTGTTACATACATGTATCTTTAAGGAATGCACTAAAGTACCGTAATATAAGTGGAGTATAATTATTGGAGGAATGCACAGAAGTACCGTAATGTCGAGACATAAAAACACCATTCCATTATATTTATTATATTCATTAGATTTGAACGATTTCAAGTGTATTATAATTATTTGAGGAATGCAAAAAGTACCACGATGTCGAGACTTTAAACACCATTCCATTATAGCGTTGACTGATTTCAAGTATATTATAATTATATGAGGAATGCACAAAAGTACCACAATGTCGAGACATTAAACACCATACCATTATATATTCATTAGATTTGGACGACTTCAAGTGTATTATAATTATTTAAGAAATTCACAATAGTAATATATCTATTGGCATATGTTAAAATCTATATTTTATCATATAATATAGTTTTGTTAGTTTTTAAAGTCACAGATGTTGTCAGTAGGAGTTTGTGTGTCTAGAAATATTGATTTACATAACACAGCATATCATGATATTCTTTATATTGAGCTATAAATAGTGACAGGTGCTGTGTACAAGTCAGAGTATGCCTTCTGGCTCTCCCGAGATTTTTCTTTTTTAAATGTGTGTAGAATGTTCCCAGTTTCGATTGCAGTGACATCTAGTGCGATTTCCTTTGCTCATTTGGGCGGAGGGAGTGTCTGGAATTGATGGGAAGATTTAGAATTTTGGGCCGACTGGTGGTATGAGGTTATGAGGTTACAATCCACAAAATGTTCAAAATCCACGAGGTTAGGCGGGGATGGTAACCCCGACCAACCAGTCTGAAACCTTTTTAGCCAATAAAATTACCTAACTAAGCAGCCATCAGGTCATTTGCCTTGATTAGCAACGGGCGATTTATTATAGAGAAATAAAGCCAAGAATTCGAATTTACTTCGCCAAGACAGCGTTATAATGCTTATAAGAGAAGGTCTACACGATTACATTATCACTTCTTTTTGATTACACAGATGAACTATCAACCCGAGGTCATGACTCGTACAAGGACATGAATTGGGGTGAACGTCCAACCTTTCTGCACCAACTGGACTAATGAAGACCGGCACATGACATGCATAGTGCCATAAGGGAATGTTTACTTCTACATTCTGACGCTCTTTCCTTGCCAGGAAACCAAGCTGAAAAATCTCGAGAAAAGTCACTATAAAATACAGATCTTTTTATACTTTCGATGGCCTACATTACATGTAGATCTAACAAGTTATAGTGGGAGTTCACGTTCTATGACGTCAGGTACCAAGCAAGCGACATTTGACCCGATTACGTCAGTCATTCGATTAACCAATTAGCGACCGCCATGTATTTTTTTTTATCTACTTTTGCTTTGTTTTGATTTCTATTGCCGCTAATCTCTACCCACAGTTCCGCGCAAAAAGGGTCAAACGCTCGATTCGACAGACCATTTGATTGGCTGACCCCTCATTTCAAGCAGAACACGAGTTAAATAACAAAGCTTCCAGATCCAAGTGTAGTAAAGACAAGTAAAATCGAAATTTTGAACTATAAAAACGAAACGAAATTGGATCTGTGTTTTAATCAGATTGGACCAGAGGCGTTGTGATCGTTTATTTTGCCTAAGGAATAAGAGCACATGGGTGCATACAATTTTAATAGTTATATCGTTAGGGGCTTCGAAGTCATAATTGATGTGCACGCTGTCGGAATTCGTAATTGGTAGTTGGAATTCGATAAAAGAGTACGCCGTAGCGCCGCTGTACGGGAAAAATGTCCCTCATTTGCCCATTTGGAGCAGAACAGTAGAACGTTACAACCCGTTTCATTTCAATTTTCCTTCAGTCGATTGGGAAAAAGCAAAAAGTCATCAAATTTTGGCTAGACAGTAGCTATATCACATAATCCCTAGAAAGGCCATACATGCATGGCAGCTGACACATGTTGCAGCCTCGTTGAAAAAGTACTTCTCGACGTATTTCTCTTAGGTTGCATTCCAAAGTAATTCTAGGTGATTTTTTTGAGCATTCCAGTATAAATACTATCGAATAATACCAGATGTGTCCATACTGCAGAGTACACGTATTGATTAGATAAAACATATTTACGCTTGGTGACTCGCAATCGGCATTCCTCGATTAATTCCGGCGTCTTTGAATTTATACTAAAAAATCGTTAACTCAGAAAGCAGGGAAGGTTAAAGATTTGACTTAAGGTGATTTCTTTTACCCGCCCGTTTACCTCCTTCAATCTCAAAGGTATGTACATACGCCAAAACCTAGCAGTTTCTGGTCTAAAACCGCCAATAAAAATTAGCATACAAAAATTGACGAGGCAAAGAGAAAATTGAAATACATTTTCCACGTTTAGTCCAGCACAACCTTTATAAGTATTATCTCCCCTTAACCACTGGTTTACACTCGCTAGCTACATGTACATACTAAAATTCTTTAAGATAATTTTAAACTTAAATAAATTAGAAGATTAAATACAAAACTAACGGGATAAATCAATTCTCGGCTGTTATATGCGATGCCAGCGGGAAAGCAAATAACTAACGGAGTTCAATCCGCAAGAAATGGATGCCAACCGGGTACCAAGTCAAACCGCTCCAGCTAACCTGGTTGGTGGGCAGACTTAAAACCTTGGCCAACAACAACAATGCACATTGGAAAATCCGAGGAACTATCTCGCCCAACACCGCGGTCGAAGTCACCATGGTTCCGCAAACCTATGTACAGGGAATTCAGCTTCGAAGCGGAGGTCACCAATCTGAAAGTGTTAGCCGTGTGAAGTGGCTATCATGTGTTTTAGAAATGAAATGAAATGGGTTTAACGTCCTACTGTTCTGCTCCGACTGGACTAATGAGGGAAACTTTGTCCGGACAGCGGAGCGACGGCCTACTCTTATTTCGAATTCCAACTTCCAAGGGATCTTTTACGTGCACCCAATGTGTACCTCGGTTTTACGTCACATCCGAACGACTTGACAACTGTCCTTGCCAGGTCACCCGTCCTGCACCACTGACAAGGGGAAACCACGCCGGGGAAACCCGGATTAACTCTCTCGGCCAACACCATGTGTTTTAGATATCCGCCTCATATACTCTGGGATATTACTGATAAACACGAAGGGAGCAACGGTGACCCGATTAGTATGGTGCTACATGATTAATCCTGGTATTTTCCAGTCGGGTTTCGCCTTGGGAGTGGTGCAGGATGAAGGGCCTACAACCTAGCTCACAACCCGTCGTACGTGTTATGACACGCACGGGTCGTAGGGATTGGTAGCTGACAGACCTGCCACAAGAAGCCATATGTGAAAATTTTGTATGTGCAGGACTGCGATCTTCTACGCTGCTGAGCACACGCAAGTGACGCATAAGACTTACGCACAGGTTTACTAAAATTCCCACCGTTGTAACACGTACGGCGATTTCCGGGCCAGACGTTACTGGCCGAATGGAACCAAATTAGAAAAATGAAATAACAATTGCACATGAGTGTGTTCAATAGACTGGTTGACACAGACAATTAGGACGTTAAACCATATTTCATTTGGATTTATTGATAATGGACGTAATAGAGTTTATTGTTGTTGTATATTTATGGGATATTATGTTTCAAGTGATTTAGTATGTATGGTGTATTATATACATTACACATAGTTCTCGACCTTTATTTACCTTCATATGTATACATATACAGGTATATAAATCAATTGTAATAAGACGACAGATTGTAATATCCACTCGTCACACAGAGTCACTTTTACAGCAACTTCTAAGAAACGAAATGAAATGGGGTTTAAATTTCTGCTTTTCGATACCAACTGGGCTAATGTTGACGGACATATGCAATGCAGTGTGCTATGAGGGAAATTTTGTCCTGATAGCGGCCTTTTCGCCTATTATTCATCGAATTCAAAATGTCAAGAAGTCTTTCATGTGCACACCAATGTGTTCGTGATTCCTCGGTTTGTCGTCCCATCCGAATGGCTAGACGTTGTTTCTTGTCAGAAATCTGGACAGATTGTGTGAAAGAGCTCCAACTTGTAAATTTTTTTTATTTGGACTGTTTTGTGTGGTGGGTGGGGTTGCTATAAGTCAAGCTATAAAACATCAAGACTGTCGAAAATGGCCCTAAGGATCAACTAAATAGTTGCCTAGTCGTTTGGGTGGGACCACAAACCAAGACCAAGCCGTGTACACGTAATAAGCTTGCACGTAAACCGGATACTTGATAGTTTGAATTCAATGAACGGTAGGTGCTGTCCGTACACAATCCCCCCCCCCCCCTAGATTTGTACATGGGAACATAAAACCATTTATGTTAGTCTCAAAACGAACGACGTGTGGGTTGATGAGGAGCTAAACTCCGTACTATTCCTTTCCTACTGTACAGTCATAACTTGAGACAGAAACCGAAGGGTATACCGAATGCATGTGAAATTTGATTGTGATCAGATTTATTTAAACTTCTATAACTGGATAGAGTGTTTGAAGACAACACTGTGTTATTGTTTTGATTTTACTTGATAAGGAGTAAAAATTTCAAATTATTATAATTAGCAACTAAACAGAAATGGGTAGCAAAATAAGTAAATCAATTCACAAACGACGTGAAAAGAGCCGAGATAAAAAGTAAGTTGATTTTCGCTACTTTTTATTGCTGGGAGCCACGGTATATAACTCCGTGAGTATGTCACGAGAGCACTAAACACCTGGGATTTCCTAGGGATTTTCCAATTAGCTATCAGGGCATGGATCTAGTTGTTTGGCTGGGGCAAAAAGATGGGGTCTACCCATTTATTCGTTGATGTGCATCATATAGAACCACTGAAACAATAAACAAGCCTCTATCGATACGTTGGCTTGCAAATAAAAGACAGATGTAATGGCGTATATCCCCATCGTTAATAGCACCCCCCGCTCAGCTACATAAAAAAATACATATAGTAAAACAATACTTTTTTTAAGTGGGCGTGGGGGATGACCGAATGGTTAGCGCGTGCGCGTTGTATCACAAGGTCTGTCATTGAGTCAACTCGCGTGGTTTCGATTCTCCGGTTGTACGTGACAAGGAGTAGGGTTGCCTTTCCAACCTCGTTTTCTCCTGGTCCGTCGGTTTTCTCCCACTGCCAAAGATCCCTACGCGCAAGTGGATTATTGGAATAAAAATGAACCATGTGGTGGTCCCGTAATGACCCAGTTTGTGCCGTGTGGACGTTAAACCCCTTTTCTCTCCCCCTCTCCCCTACGGGTGTGTGCTTTATCCTTATCATCAAGAAACAGCAACTAGTTGTTCGAATGGGGCGAGAAGTTTCCACATAGTTAAAACAAATGGGTCAATGGCTCTCCGTTTTAAGTACGCACTGCCTTACTTAATATCTGTGATATAAAAATAATCTTATTATTCTATTCATTATTATAATTGTGATATGGTTTATCTACCGGGTTATCTTGTTGTAATACGAGACGCATAAAAATATAGAATTGTTTATCTTCGTTACACATCTTGATGCCGTCAAGTAATCGTAAGACGAATGCCACCCATCGGTTGGAACAAGTCGCGGGAGTAAATCGTGGGATCTCGAGTCTCCAGTCGCGATAAATATTTCAAGTCGAGTTGCAAGTCAGATTCGTGTCCAGTTGCAGTTCACACCTCGGCTGCCATCATATTAACGCGGTTATCCGAATGCAGCAACTTAAAAATATTGTACCAACCCCAGCCAATTGCTGTTCAATTGATAGAAGATATATCATTCTGGTGATATATGAGAAATCCCGGTTTTCCTCCCCTGAGGGGAGCCACAGTGTTGTAATGGCTAGATCTTTTTGTTAAGGCCAACTCAATTTTCGTCAAGGTCGCTGAGATGTAAATAAGGTTAGGGCTTATTGTTGGCGAGTTTGTAGGTTAGGTTTAAGAATTTGGAGGAGAGGTTAAGTCTCCACATAAGCATGGACCTAGGATGATGAAAATTTGATTCGTGATATTTCCTAGTTTTATCAAAAATACATGCAATACATTAGATTTATAAACACGGTTGGTTTTTTGGTGTTGGTGGCGCTGATAGTCTTCCTTCGGTGTCGCTTTTGGTATTCTGGAAATTTGGTATCTGAAGAAAAAAAGAAATAAATAAATTTGAGGCTCTCAGGTGAGAGCAACATTAGTGTGTTTACTACTAAGGATTGTATTTTCTAAGGGTTAAGCCAAGGGTTTGATATATTCTTTGCTTTGGGTTAGGGTGAGGACTGGTGTTATTTAGTCTAATTTACTGTGCACTAGGATGTCGTTCAGATTTTTTTTTTTTAGAATATGCAATTATACTCTTCAAAAAAAGTAGGGGATATTGAAATGCAAATACCTATGCAGGTTGTGATATGATAAATAGTCATGGACACTTGACATGCTTTGAGAGTATGTTAACAGATGCAGAACTTATCGCCCCAAAAGAACCACTGAGCTGCACATGCGATACGCAATAGCGCCATACACGTGGGAGGGGTTCATTGTCAAATCTGACACTCCGAGGAAGGGTTGATGAAAACTGCCGCGTGCTGGTTTATCTATCCATGTTTGCTTTCCTATCGGTTCTTGCATAAGATTTACTGTTTAGCATATCTTTGTTTTAGTGTGTTACGTTTAAGAGAGAGAAATGGGGATTAACGTCCACTCGACACAGACTAGGTCATTTCGGGACTAACATATGGTTTAATTTTATTTCAATAATTAGCTTGCGCGTAGGGGTCTTTAGCAGTGGAAGGAAACCGGAGGACCCGGAGAAAACCCACGAGGTTGGACAGGCAACCCTACTCCTTGTCACGTACAACCGGGGATTCGAAACCACACCAGTTGACTCAATGACAGGTCTCATGTTACAGCGCGCACGTGCTAACGATTCGGAGTCTCCCCTACGTATTGTTTGTCACATTGTCTACATGAAAATATTAGATATATTTGAACTACTGAATGAAAGTTGGTCTAATATTGGGAATTGTGTGCCAGATGTTTTGTTATGGAAATGGTCGGATATGTTTATGATTTTGCATGTTTGACATCTTGGGTGGCCACAAGTTTTGGTTCAACTGCTGATTTCATATTATTTGTTTCTTTGGCGGCAAGTTTAGCTAGAGTGTTGTTTTTTATATGTCGGATATAGAGTTTGGAGTATCCCTTTCTCTTAGTTTCCTAAATACCAGCGTACATGCTGACTCAAAGTCGGTCTTCTGAATGCATATCCAATGAAAACGGAGATTCTGAGATTTTATGATGCCAGAGAACGTATGTTTGGGTGAAAGTAGCTTATGAACAATAATTGATGTGCATCAGTTTCTTTGAAAAATACTTTAAATTCCAATTGGCCTGTGTTTTTGATGTTGCTACTTTTAAAAACGGTAGTGTCAAGGAAATCTTTGCTGTTATGACTTACATTTGCGGTTAATTTGACCGATAGATGATGATTGTTCAGGATGTTGACAAACGTCCAAAATTCGTCTAGTGTGTACGTCCAGACTATGAAAACATCATCTAAAAAACGTCCATAGAAATCCGGTTTTAATGGGCAGAGTGGCAGAACTTTCCTTTCCCACTCCGTCATGTAGAGATTTGCATAACTCGGAGCAAAACCTTTTAAACTCTTTTGGCGATCATTTCAGAATGGTAAACGGGCTATTTCTGTACATTTATTTCGTAGACACAGAGAGATCATTTAGTTTTATACCTTAACTACCTTCACATGGTTAGTATTATGGCATTAGTCGTGGCTTAAACATGCACCGTATCAGACCGTTAGTCATGGCATAATACTATAAGTCCAGAACAAAGCATTAAACATGCCATATCCATGATCCGCATCATAGCATTAAGCATAGCATAATCATGGTGCGTTTTATAGCATGAATTAATCATGACATGGTCCGTATCATAGCTGTAGTCATGGCATTAATAATTTCCATATCATAGCATCAGTCATGGCTTATTGACCGTATCAGACCATTAGTCATGGCATAATCCTAGTCCGGACCATAGCATTAATCATGGCAAAACCATGGTGCGTATTATAGCATTAGTCATGACATAATGGTCCGTATCATAACATTAGTCATATTATATGGTAGATTAGATAAAATACATGTATAAGCATTTCTATGTACGGGAAATAAACAAAATTCTAAAATTAGACATAAGCTCTATCTAATATTATACATCAATCCTTAAGCCCATTCTGAAATGTGATATACATCAAATAATATAACATATTACACAAGCTATAAATATCCTGTCGTGTAATAAAATTTACCTTAGAATAAAATATAATATAAATGCAAATAGGCACAGCATTTTTTATCAGGGTATTTGCTCGACTGCTAGTAAAAGTAGTCGCAATCAATATTGTAAGCTACAGTATCCACATTCTCTTTGTATAAAGATATATTACAGTCATGTTAGTGATTATTAATAACACAGGTGTCATTTTACAATTTTATCATACATTTAAACGAAAATAATCGATTTAAACCGTATTAGTCATGTGTTCAACATGCTGAATTTATCCAAGTGAGAAATGTGTGTATTTTATTAGTGCATCTATATAATGGTCTTATTTGATTTAACTTAATCATCATCATCAACTTCTCAACAGAACAAGCTTAAAGGTGCATTATGTATAGATAACGAGCTGAAAGTTCTCGCTGTAGTATTTTTTTTTTTTTTTTAAAAAGATACATAATGAAAAGGGAGAATGTTTAAAATTATTGCATTCTGAAAAGGGTTATGGCCGTTTGAAGAACATTGTAGTCTCGATTGACATTGCAACCGTTTTTACGATAATAAACAATGTCTCCATTATCCATTTTTAAATTAGATTATTAAATGCGCTAAAAAAAACCCAAAGCCATCCGATGACCCAGACAGTTGATTATGGGCTTGACATGTGAATGAATGTCTAATTTAGCTTGTACATAATGCATCTTTAAAGGCCCCAATTGTATATTAGTAAAACAGCAGGTGGTTGCGGCGGTACAGTACCATATAAAATAAGAATTGAAATGGGGTTTAACATCCTACTGTTCTGAAAATGCTAGTCTATAAAACATCTTTGGATATTGTGTTTGTATTTATGCCATTGTTAAATCGCAGGAGGGGATTAAGGGATCAGCCGCCGGAGGCGGCACGTTCCGAAGGCCCTAATCACGGGAGTTCGAGGGTCCTCTCAAACTCAAAGAAAATTTTAAAAATTGGATCGTCATAGATGCGATTTAGATACATACTGGAACCGATAATTTCGTTCCCCATATCTAGCGAAAAAAACAAATGAAATTGGGTTTAACATTCTGCTCTTCTGCAATAACCGGATTAATGAAGATGGGCAATATGACTGGTCATTTTGTCCAAACAGTGTCGTTTTCGCCTAAGCCTAGTCGTCTTCGAGATCCCGATGTCGGGCTCGGAGGTTCCTAATTATTTCCGGTGAGGTTGTCAGCGGTGCAGGATTGAACGAAAAACCGAGGCGTGCACGTCGAATAGGCCGACATTTACGTGTGGCAAAAAAAAAAGTTGTATAGTCATTCGGGTTGGACAAAAAACCGAGGTCTCACATACACATTTGCGTGCAAGTAAAATAACCCTTGACAATTGGATT